AAAAAAAAAAAAAAAAAAAAAAAATCCAAAAGAACACACAACCCCCCCTCCGCAACAAATGACACGATTTTATCTTGAGCAGACACTCATCCTGTTCCGTTCCGGGGTAAGTGCTGCTCCAGCCCTTCACAGGCTTTTATCGCTCTGGAGCCCGAAGCGGCCGGAGCACCCACCTGGAAATGGAGCTTTACTTGTGGCACATGTGAGCTCCGAGCGAGGCCACGCACCGCTAGCCTCGCCTTTCCGAAACGCAGAAGAAGACGTCTGCGCCTTCTTCTAGCGGGCACATTCTGTGTCTCCCAAAGGGGAAGGAAGAAGGCTCGATTAAATCGCGCTTGCCCGTCCCATGGGCCGATCGCGCATGAGCCCTCCGTGCCCCGGGGCCAGCCCGGCCCGGCCCCGCCGCGGGCTCCAGCGCCAGCCCCCGGCCCCGGAGAGACCTCAGCGCACTGCGACCGACACGATCCGTGCAAACCTCCCTGCATGGCCTTCCGAAGCTAAAAAACCACTCTTAGCAAAAGGGAGATTAGCGGGAAAAAAAAGAGCTAAGTATGTAAAATGTACTTATGTGGAAAAAGAATGCCCCTTGGGATGTCTTTAAAATACAGGCTTAACATCCAGTTCAGGAGACAAAATGCAGATGGCATCACAACAAACAGCCTTGTTCTGTGTAAACTTGCACTTCTGACAGAAATCCTGATTCTGCGTAGTGCAGAACACATGATTAATTTCAAATACCTGCTAAATTAAAATTCAAATAGGAGCATTATCGTATCTGACATGATTACTAAACTTGATATGGGTTTATGAGTGTGCCTAAAATTAATTCTATATGTGCTTACATTCATTGTTGAACTGAGGGCAAAATGAAGAAGAATGATGTATTAATCTACATGTCCTTTGGCCCAGATTCTTCCTTTTGGTGTTCAATTTGGAAATTTACTTTAAACCATCAGGATAACTATTTCTGGGGTAAATAATATGGACACCATCTTTTTCCAGTAAGGTAAATTTCCCCTCTGCCAAAGTTCAGTCACTGAAAAACCAAGCCATTTTAACGCAGCACAAATGTGGGAGGCAAGAATCCAAAGGACCACATGGATCCTGCCCCACACATTCCTTTAGAACAAACAATTTCAAATAATGTAAAACCAGGGCCATAAACTGGTAATGCTTCTCTTCTGCTTTATTTGCAGCATAAAACAATGCCAACTTTAACTTGGACTCGGTCTAAATGTAGGAGTTTTGCCAGAATAGCTGTCATAATGATGAAAAATCCCTTGCATGCAGCTACAGCCACACTGGCAAAAGCCCTGGAGTAGATGCCGTTATATTGGCAGAGTTCTTTGGCCACTTTTGCATATTCCATGAGAAAAGTGATTTAAGTTACACCCTAAAAGAAATCTGTGCTTGCCAATTCAGCTCTAAGGTGTAGCTATACCAGCCAACACTTTTAAGTGTAGACAAGGCATGGGTTTCTGGCACTACTCTCATTCCTTTAAAGCTAGATTTATGGGTTTGGTTACAATTGTGAGCAAAAACCAAGGGGGATTTCAGTGTATTTCACTTATGCTGACATTTTACAGATGTATCTAAACTTTGAATTTGGAATCAGGTAATTTATGTGTTGCCAAAAAGCAATGTATTAGCTTGTGATGCCTAGTGTTATTGTCCTGTTCTTGGTAAAGTGAAAAGAAAAGAAAAAAGTATATTTTTCAGTATATTAAGTGTGACCTCTACTTTTAATTATTTCAGAATATGTAAGTTCTAGTAAAATTAACCGGGATGATTAAAAGAAATGAAATATGTTATTATATTTACAAATCAAGGATGTTCCACAAGACTTCTGCCTGCCTCAATAGAGTCAGCTATTATGGTCAGAGCTGGTTCCTGGGGGTGTTCCTCATGCCCAGGAGCTGTGACATCCACAGCAGGTTTGGCAGGCTGCAACTCCTCATCCTGCTCCCAGGAGCTCAGGTTTTGTCCAAACAGCACCTCACCCTTCACTGGGACCCAGAGCTGTTAGCCTGGCAGTGTTTTACTTTCCTAAGTGTCTATTTGATTAGCACATGCAAACACACTGCAGTGCACAGTGTTGTTTGCTAGCAGAATGCATAACTAATATTTCTCTTTATATTCTCAGCTATGCTTCCAACAGTCAAATATTATGTAAAGGTTAAACAGTAGAAAATTTTTACAATGGCAGCAAAGCATTCTTAGAGACAGGCAAATGCACTTACACTATCAATTTACATTAATACTCATAAAACTGTGGTAAATTTTAATGGAAAAGCATTTTCTGTAGTTTTCAGGGATGGAAAAGGGATTCTGATGCAGTGGCTCATTCTGAGTTTGTATTCTGTGAAAGCACTGACTTTGTCAGACATAAAGAGCACAGTTAAAATGCATCTGCCAAGGGATATGGGAAAAGTGTGCTCTGCAATAATGCAGGAGTGAGGCAATGTTTAAATCATAAGAGTGCAGTGCATAAAAGGTTGTTGTCATATGAGTTATGTCCTCCAAACCCATTTAAGATGAAATGACTCATTTTAAGAAGAATAACTGGCAAGTTTATGGCCAAAACTTGGTGACCAGCCAAGAGATAAGCCAGCATTGTGATGCCATGTAAAGGATGCCTGCCACTATTGAAAGGCTGTGTGCCTTTGATAGCCAAAGAACCAAAAGGGATTGCTGTCCCAGTGCCAAACATTCTGCCTTGATTTATACCTCAATCTGGGCAGTTCCCATTTTCCCAATCAGACAGATTACACAAACCCTGACAGATACAATATTGAACCATAGACTACAAAGCTGGTATCAGCTGGAAAACTTGGGAGCTAAACCAATGTCATATATTAACTGCAGTTTTCTGGCAAATTTTATTGGCATTTTATCAAAGCAGAGCAAGGTCTTTTTTTTGTTAAAGAATGTGGCTGTAATATCCCTACTGCAAAATACTCTTTAGCTTCTGTCCTAAGAAGTGCAGCTTCAGGCAACCTCACAGTCTGTGCTGCTTTTTCATCTCAAGCCCCAAACTATTTAGCTAAACAAGATTTATTTTACTAAATCGTTCATTAGAACAGTAGATATGACAAAAAGCCCTAAACAAACAAGGGAAACCTGACATATTTATTCAAGTCCCTTTTTATCACATAAGTAATATTTAGAAAATGCAGTCATAATGTCTTTGATGCTTCTACAAGAATCTTTCCTCTCTTTTTTCTTTTTTTTTTTAATGGAGCTGGATAAATACCAACCATTTCCATGTTTGAATTAACAGAAAAAAAATCATCTGTTTTGAAGAATATTCTGCACTTTTGGGGCAATGCTGTGATAAATGAATACCATACTCCCATCCTGGCACAGCACAAAATTCTGTTCCATGCTATGCTATAACATGTAATTGCACAGTGTTGTGTCATTTGGAAGAGGAATTTGTTTACCATACTTCATTATTACAAAACATGTCTCTCTTAACAAGAGTGTGGTTTAAAGAAATCATTTGCTGTTTAATGGCAAATGTCTCGTGCTGGTGTTATTGACAGGGTTTTCAACATAAAAGAGATGTAGCAGGCCCATTGTACACTGCCAAAGTCCTGTTATCACTTTACAACTCCTTTATACTGCTAAAGGAGTATGAAGGAGCTTTAGAGTAAACAGCAGTCTTGGCCTGCCTTTCATCTGTGGTCTGTCAGTGACACGGAGCTGTGTGCAAGCCCAGTGGGTCAATAGGATATTAACTTGGGTTAAATGTCACAAGCACTGTTCTGTCTGCAGAATGACAGGCCCTGTGAATGGGCCATGTTGGTCATTTTTCCTGCTGAATTTGTACAGGGTTAAGTCCATAATTACATGGAATACAGAATGTTTTAAAATATTTGGTTCTGAATTATTAGGAACACTACATGTAGTCATTCCTATCAAGCAGTTTGATATTTTATGCTCATAATGTATCTGTCCCCTTTTCTTCTCACATGTAATTATGGTGTACTTTGGCTAATACAGTCATGTTCCACATGTGATTTATTTATACCAAAATGTAAACATAATGACATTTGGCATAACAGGATTTATAGCAGGACATGTTAGTGCAGTTTGCAGTAGCACAAAAGGCAGCTCCACAAGCAGAGGCTGCAGCAGCTGTGTGTAGATAGCCACCTTGAGGATCAGCAGAGCATGACTTGGGGTTACTGCGTGCTCTTCTGCACAATGAGGACAGGCATAAATCTTGGTATATTGTTTAGTATAGTATATTTTCAATGCTATTTATTGTTTAAAAATTAAATGAGACTTTGAAATGCAATTTTTCTTTTACGAAACTAGGTGGAACGGATTAGTGCGAGCATTCATTCCACAGTTGATGGAATCTCATTGTTTCCTCAGGAGTTCCAAAAAACTGCTAGCAGGTGTCTGTATCCTTTCCATCTTGTACATACCCACACAAATAAATCCCCCTGTTCTGCCTTCCCATCTTCCTAGCAAAAGCCTTGGTAGGGACTCCCAGTGCTTCAGAGCTTAGAAATGGGCAGCTGGCTGATTTGGGGCTACATTGGATCTGCTCTGGGCTCTGGAGAGCTACAGGGAACAGGATTTGCTGGAATAGCCTTTAGCTAATATTGAACTGCACATGTTACTAGATTACATAAAATCATATATTAGGGGAATGCTACAGATGCTAAGAAACCAGGTCTTTCTAAACAAGTGTTTATGTGCCAATATTACAGTAACTTCCTGAGATACAGAATCAAATGCTGTATCCTTAACAGATGATTCTTCGTAGGAAGTCCACTTCTAAAGATGCAAAACTTTAGAAATACTTTTCATGAAATTTAAAGCACTATTTTAGAATACTATATGAGTAAAACCAAACCTTCTCTAAAATAAATGCTTTTTTGAAATGCTGAATGTGTGAATGGAGTCTTTAAACCTGACTATCCAGTTGAGAAATTCCCTTCTATTCCAGAGTTCATTCTCTCATTCATAATTTAAGCAGAGCTCACTATCTATAAACAACAGTGTTGCTAAGTGGATAGAATAGTGCAGCATTCAGATGACAGGCACAATCAAAAGTAGGTCGGTTAAAGAGAAACTACATTTGGATTTTATTACATGAAATATTTAGTAGCATTACTCGAATTTCCTGGGAGTAAAAATAGTTCCGAGGCGGGTATTGAAGCCTGACAGCAGCGAGCAGGCTCCGGGACCTCTGCGGCCGCCGCTCCACCAGGGCCGCTCGGCAGCACGCCGAGCTCCCGGCGCGGAAAGCTCAGGGCTGTGCAGGGGAGCC